ACTTCCACTCAACAAGTAGATCCAGGTGGTCACCTACCAAGCATTTCAGCCTGCTCACAGGCTCCCTTTAACATTCAGTCCCAGAGAGTTTTCTTCATGGTTCCAGACTTTTTCCAGCTACTGACAAAGACTACTAGTTCCTTAGTATTCCAAAGCACTGGGTGGGACATATATTTTCAAAGCTTTTTACAGATATGGCCTAAACACATTTAAAGATCAAATTTTAATGACTGAATCAAGTGGACTTACAAACTTTCTATTTTCTTACTTTCCATATTTTCCCCAGAAAAGCAACCAAGTAAATAGTGTGGCTTTACCTGACCTCTGGCTAGACACAGATGGAAAACTTCCAGGAGGGAGAGGTCAAACATCTATTCTCTATCTTATGATTTGTTTCTCCAGTACCCCACTCCCGAGGTACCATAATGTGTTAGTCTAGGTATTTTAGAGAATCAAATCCACAGTATAAAAAGTTTTATGTAAAGAAAGTGTGCATCACGAAAACACGCCGTCTCTCCAGCTGACCCCTGTCCACCTCTACTGAGATGTCCCGGTCCCCTTTACACCCCACACTGGACTCTCCCACCTTCCGACTCCCCACACCTCCGAGCTGCATGTCCGCCAGTGTGCGTTCCACAGTGCGTGAGCCGCCACCACCACCCAGCCAGTTGAGTAGTTCAAGTAAAACGCCCAGTGGTCCTCGCTAAGGTTCTGCCCTTTCCCCTCTCGGAGATGTATTCTCTCCCGTTGCCTCTCAACAGTCAGCTCAAGATAAGCCACGATGGAGGTCCAGAATGCCAGCATTCCTCAGGTGCTCGAAAGCCACTGGCCAAGGCTCAGTCTCGCACTCCCTCCAGATCCGAGCGTAAACTCATTCCCCCACCTCCTCCTGTGCTCCTCTTCCTGTCCCCACACCCGCCTTCCCCTAACAGCTTCCTAAATCTGCCTTCAAGGGAACTACCTTCAGCTTAACCCCAAAGGTTCCCAGCCTCTGACCCCTCTCACTTAAAACCTGGGCCCAGGAGGGGCAGACTTTCCGTCTTGGGAACCATACTCTGCGGAAGCTTGGTCAGCGGCCTTCTCCGTCTTTAACAGAGGCCCACGGTGAAGTCAACCACAGATTAAGTCAAGCCCCAGAGGGGGGGGCGGGGGGAGCAGCAGAAAGAGCTAGAGGGTGTGACAGATGTGGACTTTGCACAAGGAAACACTCAAGGGCTAGATGCACATGATTTAATCACTGAACGTAGCCCTTTACCACCAGGGGCACCTACCCTGTGGCAGGACAGCTGGGCAGGGGAGGAAAGAGCAGCCCAGTCACGTGGCCATCGTGGGTGAGAGTCATCCGACGAGGCAGCCTTGTCCGTCAGAAGACAAGCGTGGTGGTTCAGCACAGTGCCAGGCCAAGAACTGGACTGCTCTTCTGAGCACCATCGAGTGGGGTTTCCTCCGCATCCCCGTCAGCTTTCTAATCCACTACCTAAACTCCGTGGCTTCATTGGTTGCTGTGCGAACACTGATTTTACCACGTACATTCTGCAATCAGCATAACACAGCAGGAAGAACCATCCAAGAACATTAACAATCTTGCAGCCATTTGCTGACAATCACTTTCTGGTAGAGCTGAGAACTGGCTGAGATGAACAAGGCTTCTGACTCAATGAAAAAACCAAAAATACATGAAAATAAGATTTGTTTCTTCCAACTGTATGGACACACAAACTATAGAACCATGACTTCCCTGACATAAAACGGGTGGCCCTGGGGTGGGCCACTGACTTTACAATGATCTCCTTCTGTGTGAAGGGTGTATGAGCTACACATAATGTTCAATATACTTGCCTTCAAAAATAATAAGCTAGTGACCTCGGTGGAAACCGAGGCCGGACCGCACCCGGGAAGGTCTCAGCAGTGACCGGAGAGGTCACTGAGGTGAGGGAAGGTCTGCTCCGGGGAAGCCAGAGCCACCACCTGAAAGCTACCAACGTTTCTGAAAGCAACACTTCCACCGTTCACCCGTAGAATGCAATTCTAATCCAAATCCCCACGTTCCTACTTAAAGAAATGGAAAACCTAATGACCAACTTCATATGGAGAGAAACGGGACCTAGGATAAGCAAAGAACTCCGTAAAAAGAGGAACAAAGTAAGAGGCCTTGTTGTACACCCAACGTCTGAACCTGACGCAGCAGGCACACTGTACTGGATATTGAATGCCTGAAGTACATGAAAGGGTCTGAAATACTCTTTGACTTAATTCTG